GGTCTCGCTTACAGGCCCTCCGTGATCGACGCTGCTCCTCCTCGGCAGCTAAACCCTAGCAGTCCGCCTCTCGATCTCGAGGGTCGTTTGGGCTCCTGCTCGCCGGCACGGAGCTCTCGGCCTTCGTCCGGGATCGCGCCGGCCGGAAGCTAGCCTTGCGTCTCTGCTCTACTCGCGCGGCCGGAGCTTTGACGTGGACTCTTCCGCGGGATCCGACGGTCAGATCGGCCTTATTCTCGCTGTCTCTTCGGGTAGCCTTGACGCCGTTAGGGTTTTGGTCGGTGCCGGCGCAAGAATCGATCTTGACCGTGATCGGGTGTTTCACGAGGCTGCGGGAGGGAACCGGATCGATTTGATATCGGCTCTTGAAAACTCGAACGGGGTTGTTTTGGGTTGGGCCAGGTTGGTGGATTCAGGCGGGAGAACTCCGGTTCATTATGCGGCGGCCAACGGGCATTTGGATGCCGTCAAGATTTGTTTGGAGTCTGGAGACGGAGATCCGGACCAAGCTGATTGGGCCGGTTGGAGCCCGTTACATTGTGCTGCGTATGGAGGGTTTTTGGACGTGGTTGAGTTTTTGATCGAACGGTCAAATTTTGATCCGAAGATTGCTGTCACTTTTGATGGTAAGAAGACGCCGTTAGATTTGGCCGTTGAGGCTGGGCATTCGCATTTACATGATGTGTTAGGGTTAGGTGATAAGTTGCTCCGGCGTGTGAGGGTGGGCGACGTGGACGGAGTTAGCGAGTGCATTTTCAGAGGTGTTGGGGTGAACCGAAAAGATCAGAATGGATGGGCTGCTTTGCATTGGGCGGCTTTCGGAGGCTGGGTCGACATTGTGAGGCTGCTCGTCGAAAATGCCGCGCAACTGGATGTTGCGGATGATGTGGGGTTTACGCCGTTGAGATGTGCAGTGGAAGGTGGGCGTGTGGAGGTGGCACTTCTGCTCGCAAGTTATGGAGCTCATACGAGGTTGAAGGGGGTGAAGGGCGCAGATTTATTCTCGATGAAATTGGATTCCTGCGCTGCTAATGCTGGTGGTTTGCTCTCATTTGGCGGTGATAGTAATCAAATAGTAGAATCTTGACCTTATTCTGCGAGTTTTTGGTGGTTGTTATTTTAGGAAAATGTAAATAGTTTATGTTGTTTTCCTCTTAGAATATTTGCTTTGGTGGCATCACATTGAGGAAGAGAGACCGATGCAATTTGTTTTCATTATTGTTCAATATATTTTCTTCTGGTTTTTTAAATAATTTGTTTTCGCCAATTATATCTTCCACGAAAAGTTGAATTTTGAGACAGACCGTTTTCACGTAAATCGATATCAATTTTGGCTTCCAAATTGTGGAGACTTGATGAAAGTATTTGTCACATGTCAGAGCCATTTAGCACGTCTTTAATTGTAGATGGAGGTCCATTTTTCTACTAACACGAGGGAAAAAGGAAACAAAAAACAAAAACAAAAACAAAAAGTAGAGGATTAAACAGAAAGAGACATACAAAAGTCTCTTCTCTTTTTACACACGGTACTGAAGTGTTTGAAATCTTTGATCTCTCCAAATGAAAGCATGGATATTAGCAGAAGAAGGAAGAACAAAGCAAGCAGAAACTTAGTACTAAGTGAACTTTTCCATGAACTTTCCACTGGAAGTTAGTTCCTGAGTCTCTTCACCAGAGTATAGGAAGTATTCATGTATCCTGATATGACAGCTATAACATGCATCGAGAAGGCGGCTGCTGCTTTCTGCATTTATCAGATATGGCTGTACATGAATTCTGTTATTTCCCAGCCGGAAGGAATATGAGAGAAGGATAATGGAGCTTGTTACTTATGAGGTGAAGATCATTCGCAGCAATCTTATCGAGCTCGAAGATGCACAAGCAAACAGGAAATGGTGCTCGACCTTGAGAATATGCCCTGTTTACGTCTCTAAGAAGTTTCCATAATAAGTTTTTGTTCTCATTGTTTCTTCTACAGTTTTGATTCTGATGTATTAGGTACTTGAAAGATAACATTAAAGTTTTCTTTTTTCTTTTGCCCTTTAAACTGGTTTCTGAGAGCTCAATTTGTGTGTTCCCGAGCTGCTCTGGTTATGTACATATATATGATGTTGAGCTTCATTGCTACTTTGGTAATAAGAATATTTACTTACAATAAAATAATAATATTAAAAAAGTAGATATGACACTTTATAGTTCTTCCCTTGCTAATGCTACTCTGTAGAACAAGAATTTGAACCATATTAGTCACGTTGGTTAATGAAAGCCAGGTCCAATATGTGCAGGCAAACTGTACTTCTTGCTGGCCAGAAACCAAATAACTTTTAGTAAACTTCTCAGAACCCCCTTGATATTTGAGGGTTCCCCACAGAGCCCTTTTAAACTTTCTTCCCACATAGTTAGTCTATTTGTTAATCTGAAAGGTTAAATTTTTTAGGCCGTTGGGTTAGTCTATTTTAATTATCGTAAATTTTTTTATGTTTGGGAGTTAAAATAATTACAACCTCTTTCTTTATAAATAGAGTGGTTATTTTTAAACTAGTCTAAATTGGTGGATTAGTAAGCCCCTTATTTTAAGGGGCTAGCTTATTTTAATCATTGAGACTTGTAAATCATCCTATCATTTTTGTGTTTGGCAAATGATGAGGGGTTAGTTCAGTTCACACCCTGTGTACATTTTTTGTGTTTGACGGACTAGAAAGAGTTTCACTCTTATTAACTCCTCGCTTAACTCTTCGCCAAACAGAGCTACAAGAAATAGGTGCAGTTGATCCGTCATTGACAAAAAAAAAGCAAGATACAAAATATGAGGGGCTAACTTCAAAATATTGAAGGTGTATTGGACTAATATTCAAGAAGAGCCAAAGAAAATGTTTTAAAGCCCATTCCACCGCCCAAGACTCACAGCGATCCGGCCCAATGGCCCATAGTTTTGCTTGTTTCAGGCTCTACAACCGACTTCTTCATCTTCACTCTTCCAGTGCATGACTCTTTCACTCACTCCCAAAACCCAAACCCCCAAAAATCCCTAAAATCAAGGAAATCTGAGCTCGATCCATCAACAATGGCGTCATTGGCAGCTAGGGTTTTGCGAAAAAACCGTGATTTTCTTTTGTTGCTCGTGGCTTTTTTTTAATGAGCTTAATCTTATGCTTTTGATCTGTGTTTCAGGGATCTCGCAGTTCGTTCTTGATGCTCAGAAGTCGGTGGGTTGGATTCGTGATGAGTCAGATTCGGGATTGACTCGCAGAGTTCTCCGTAATTAGCCAGGTTTAAATGTTTAGCTTCTCCTAATATACGAATACAAATTAGACTGAACTTGTTGCTGAGCTCTATCTGCTCTTTCCTGTGTAATAACTGCTTGGATTTAACGGGGTGTAATAAATTGAGGATAGCCTTTGGTTGTACTCTGTGAATGCTTGAGATGAAATGCCATGAAGTTTAATAGTGGATTGGTTGCTTTGATGTGGTGGTGTTATTTAATTTTCTATGACGGGTTCCAATAGGCTAGATTTCGAAGTGTTGGATACTAATTTAAGGGAAATGTCTTGGTACTATGTGTTAGTACGGCAATCAAAAAATAAGAATAGTGTCAAAGAGCAATGACCTTAAATATAGACTATTGGGGTCAATACCTAATAGTTTTAAGTGTTCTTTTTTGTTAATTTGGTTAGCTATCTGGTTTAGGACCCATTTAATTTCGGACGAGTTGGAGCCTAAGTTGCTTCTTAATGATTTTTTTTAAAGTCCAATGTGAAATCTGATGGTATTAGAAGAATGACTGAGGTCTCTAGTTAGCTTGTAGCTCTTGTTAGCCTGTATATGCTGGAAGCAACTTATAAATGCTAGTAGTCATGTTGTGTTGCTCATAGTTTTCATCTAATTAGCTAACATATGATATTTCTGTTGATATTGGTAGCCACGTTCTGTGTATAGATATCTATTTACTCGAAACGAAAGTTTACTAGCGGATGATGGATATCCAAGGTTGCCTGCTGAAGGCCCATGGTTTTCCATGGAGGTTTGATACGTTCTCTCAAATGAAGGAGGAGAATGTAGAAAATTGAAGTACTGGTGCAATCTCTGATTGGAAAAAAAGAAAAAAGAAAATACTGAGTAACTTGTATAGAATGTTGAGGCCAGCACCTAATAAATTAAGATTTTGAATTAATTTGGTTCCCAACCTATGTGTAAGATAAATTTAATTCCTGAATAGTCCAAATACTTTTAATTCAACAATTTCCTGTTGAGGATTGAGGAGCATAAATGAAGGAGGGAGATTGTTGGTAATTAATGTATGTGTAATATATGTATCTGACATGGAGATCATTGGTAATTAATGAATGTGTATGTGTAATCTATGTATCTGAGATTGACAAATTTGACTTCGATAGAAAGTTGAGGTTTAATAACCCCACAGTTCAAATTACATCCCAGCAAAATGTGCAGTCATTTTTTCACATATATACTGCAGAATATATAACATGGAGGTGACATACACATAATTTGTTTTTATTTCGAAGTTGATCCTAAATTTTGTTGCTGCCATATAGGTAAGCACCAAGGTTAAAGTGCATGGTTGATCAGATTCTTATGAATACCTTTCAGACCTGGTGTAAAGCTAGAAGTACTTGACAAGCTGTTTGCGATAATAACATAAAGCCAGTAATCTCAAATGTGAAACACCATATGCAAAGCTTGCAGAAACCAAGATAAACTGTCAGTGTAATTTTTCGGAATTAGCCCGTAAGAGATGCATCAAAAGAAGATTCTTGAGTAAATAAAAGGGTTCCAACATTCTTGATTTAGAAATATCATAGTGGATGTCTTTCAAGGATTTGATTGAAGATTTAAACATGACTAGGTGAAAGGAGCCTGGAAGGGGTTAACTTAAAAGGGCTTGTGAACACCAGTCCCTAAATTATTCAAGTAAACTAGATAGGCTTCAAACTACTCTCTCTAAATGAAAGAAATTGGAGCTTTAAACTCTCAAGAAATCGGACCTTTAAACTCTCTGAGTGGAATTGGTGATTTATATGTTTTGATGTCGAGGATCTGTTAAAAAAGTATCTCAAGTCTCAGTTCATGGGCAGTGCCATGTAACTGGTGGATAGTTTACCAGATTTATATATCCAATTAATTGTATAATACAATAACAATTTGAATTTTTTTATAGAGGTGTTTTGCTAGTTATATAAATAGTGGTGAACAAGATCGATAAACTCCTACATATTTGATTATGAAAGCGTACAATGCTGGAATTATCTTTCCTGTGAAACTGCAAATAAAATCCCATGAGTATTTCGATATTGTCATCATTAAAATTCTTTCAATCGCCCTGAGTCATTTGTACATAGGTATCATGGTAATTGTGTTTATTGCATCTTCAAACTGATTGAACTATAGGTTCGGAATCATTTAGATGTGCGTCAGCTTTGTACATAAGTATCCATGTTTTAGACTCATTTGATGTCAGCTGCTCTAGGCATGCTAAGTCTGCATGAAGAGCGGATATTCGAGCTAAGAATGTAAGAATTGGAGAGGTATGGTTCCGTGCGATATGGAGGCGATTCAAGCTTCTATACAAAAGTTATTGATGGCCATGATGATTTTAAATCCTGTAAGCACTGCTCATCTTCTGACCGACTATGATTCTTTATACTCTAGTATTATGTATATCTGTGTGTGCGCGTGCGTGTGTATACGCATGGCGGATCCAGGCTTTGTTGAGGTGGGGCACGTGCCCTACCTCAAATTTTGCAAGTCCTTAAGGAAGTATATAGTTTAGGTTGCTAGGTTAAATAATAGGCAATAATGCCTTTGGTTGAATATGTTCAAAATCCAATGGATTTTTACCTATTTCAGCATACATTTACAGAAAAAGCTTTTAAGAATAAATGCATGGCTTTGTTTCAAAATATTCTTTTTTAAGTTTTAAGAATACAAAACCAACAATTTTTTTTAAATCCTTCTATTTTATTTTTAAAAATACAATATTTGAGTATAATTTTCTTTTGTCGATAAAGTCTTTAACTATCCAAGAAAAATGTTATATAATTGTGCCCTGCCTACTTGAGAATCCTGGCTCCGCCCGTGTGTACGCATATTGGTGTGCTGTGGGTGGTGCGTGTGGTGGTGGTTGTATTGTGTATGTGTGTTGTTTGCTTTTATGTCTATTTTCAATTAGTAATGTTTTATGGCATCTCACAATAGTTGCTGGTGATGGTTGACTGGAAGATTGGAGTAACTTCTTTTTTCTGATTCTCTTTTGTTTGTTAATTTTATTTCCTTGGTCAGTTCACCATTTAATTTGGAAAAGGTTGAATAAGGCAGTCCTCGATGGGAAATTCTTGTAATGGTCAATTGCTGATAGATCAGAACCCCTGTAGCTCTATTGTTGCACTTGCAGTTAGACCCCTGGTATTATTGTCCAATTGCGGATAAAACCCCCCGAGTGATTTTTTTTGACTCTTTTACCCTTAGGAGGTCTATTTGTCAGAAAAATATTCTCTTCTCCAAGGATAAAAGAGTTGTTTATCTGCGAAAATAGTCTGCATTGCATCTATCCCAAATCGGGCGATGTTAGGGGGGTCTGCGCAATTAACCCTTCTTGTAAATACATCTGAAGTCTACATTGGATCTCTTGAGCTTTATATTTAAACAATTGGATTATTAAATTTCAATCTTGAATAGTATTTAGACTGACAACAGAGCATACTAGCCCTTGACTTATTAGACTTATTCTGAGAAAATCCTGTTCAAGAAAATCATCTCTTAGTGTATGGATCATGGAAACAAAAAGCTGCATATCCCTAGGTTTACATTTCTTCTGGTTAGATCGCAGGCTCATGCTAAATATTCACCTTTCAAGTGTCTGCTAATTGTGATCAGTAGAATTATCCAAATGCTAAATATTCACATAGAATTTATCCCTAGGTTTACATTTCTTCTGCTAAATATTCACCTTTCAAGTGTCTGCTAAATGTCAGCTATATGTTTGTTTGGTTCATTGCAAGTGCAACTGGATGCAAATGTCAGCTATATGTAACTACAGTTTCAATTATTGTCGCACATAGTTATTGTTGCAGTTGTTTGATTTACTTTTAAAATTCTGTATTAATTTGTAGTTGTGACTGTAGTTGCAGGTGTTTGGGATTTATCCCTAGGTTTACATTTCTTCTGGTTAGATCGCAGGCACATGCTAAATATTCACCTTTCAAGTGTCTGCTAATTGTGATCAGTAGAATTATCCAAATGCTGTGCTGACCCAAATTGGCCATACTTCCAGCTAGTATACCCAATAACGAGGAGCATTGCATAAACTGCTAGCTAAGTATTTGGGTCATCAAACATTGCAGCTTATCTTGCTATGACATTCTAGAAAACTAGGCTGATCTTTGTATTTAACTTCGATTCATATGCGCACAAAATTGATACTGCATTTGGTGTTTGATAAATTGTTGGTGAACGACAAGAAAGTGATTCCCATGCTCTTCTAGCCTGCGGCTTCATCATTTGTTCTTGTGTACTGTACATGGATTTTTACTGACAATAAACTTGAGCTCTTTCTAGGTGGATTCTTCGATCGATATTGTGCTTGAAAGATGATATTTATGAGTAAATGTAAAATAGACTAAATCCTGCTTTGGTTAATCTGTGGCTAATCTCATGTATTCCTATCCTCAACTACACGCCAATGTATGTGACAGTTTAAGGATCAAAGCTCCCTCTTCTTGCATGAATCTCTCATGGATGGATGCGTATGAAATATGAATCGCTTGCTTAACTTTGGTTATTGGATTTGGAGTTACTCAACTGCCAGAATTATGATGCAATAATCAATATCGGTAAATTGTTTTCATTCTTTGCTTTCCTT